CGATATGTATACGGGTCGAAATCGAATGTGCAGTGTCCAATGCAAAGTCAGCAGGCGTACTCGTGCGAGCCAATCAGACAGCCACCGTAATGTATGCTTCTCCATTACAGGTGTATATAATGGTTATGGCCGACCGTGTGTATATTATATACCGGCCCAGAAATATACGAGGTGCTTCACAGTACATTCTCGGGTCCTAGGAACTGTTTATTGAGCATGGGTAATATGAATACCGTACAGATATCTATATATTGGGTTCTGGATATTGATGGCGGAAAAATACCTCATTAGCCATTTCGATATCGCCCATATCGGTCGGGTATCTATTTTCGAATATGTTAAAAGTCTGTTATCAAATATTCTTTTTTTTAAATAACAGGCTTTTAACATATTCGTTATTGTACCAATATATACGTATAGATATATATTGTGTCATATTCAGATTTACCCACACCTACTGTTTAAGTCTTTACAGATAACATTTAGAGAGTTGAATGTCGAAGAAAGTTTTTTTTTTTTTACAATGACGCACTTTTCGGAACTTTTTAAATTTAATTAAACTTATACTTAATTGATGAACTTTGTAAACAAACTGCAATTTTTTTATCTTTTCGGAACATATAAAATTGTATTAATTTTGCGATTAGTGATTTTTATCATGCAAACTGTATTTTTTTTTAATAATATCATTAAATTCAATTTATACATATATATATATATATATATACATATATATATATATATATATATATATATATATATATATATATATACAATATACATTTGACAGATTCTTTCCGAGATGATTTTTTTTTTTACGTTGGACGCCTCATCTAGATGTTTATGATCTGATTTACAATACAATGTAGATGAGCTTTTTATTTTTTTTAAACTAACTGAAAAGGCAATGGCATCATGCCTATACAGCTATACTTAATGATGTTTTTTAACCGCTTAGAATGGTCCAAGGAGTTTCTTTTTCGATAATTTGTTATTGGAACCTTTTCATAGACTATGTAAGCTTCGGATAAACCATTTCCAACTATAAGGAAATTAATTTCATTATCTCAAATAATTTATTATTGTATAATTAAATATTTAAAAACATTTAAAGAAAGATCTATTAATTTCCCGCAAAAATAATGCGTCCTTTTTCTTTCAAAAAAAGTGAAAAATGTAAAAAAAATAACATTTTTTTATTTTAGTATTTTAGTTACTAAAATATGCAATAATTATGAACATCTCTATTTAATATAAGTATTTTTTAATGCAACTTAGAATGGCAAACAAGCTGACGGCTCACCTGATGGAAAGTGGTAACCGTGAATTCACTGCCATAATCCCACCCTTCAAAGCGAAACAGCGACGCAAACATAACTGCTTCACGGTACACGAATGGGACAAAGGTGCCCAAGCAAACAACTTTTATACAAAGCAACCATTTCCTAAACCGATCACAAACTATTTAAAAAGCAATAAGTTTAAAACACTTCCGTTCGGTACGACTCTATCATTTGAAATGTTATTTAAAAAAATAACCGTTCCAATTTCAAAACGACCGCCAAAATGTACTTACAACTTTTTTTTTTCATTTCTGCACTCAGAACCGTACAATATAAAGTTATATACAGTTGGCAATCCGCGATTGCTCGAGATTCATCGTAATCAGATATTTCTGGGCCGGTCATTACGTATAATGGTGTTCAGCGTGTCTATTCAAATGTGTTCTATATGTTTATATATACTAGGTCATAAGGCGTATACTATTGCTGAAGGCATTTATTGGTAGTTACGGGACATTGGAACGACGTGGGCATTAAGCGTGTATCAGTTACTTGTCATTTGATATTTTTAATATCGTTTGAAATTTGATATAAACATACTAGCTTAGATCACATACTTTTAGATGGAGTCACTTAACAAAAACGCTTTGCTAAAAACAGGCCGTTTTTTACTCTTGTGTGAGTGAATAGGGATAATAGATTGTATAGTTATTACTCAATAGGAAAAATGCATACTGTAAGGTTTTTTTTTTATACAACTTAAAATGGCAAACAAGCTGACGGTCCACCTGATGGAAAGTGCTAACCGTCGTCTATAGACATGAGCAGTATCATGGATATAACAGAGTATACTGTTTCGCCCATGATACCCCCCATGCGTTGCCATTCCTGAGGACTCAGATGTTATTTCTCTGTACCCTGTAAATTCACACCATATCCCACCCTTCAAACCGAAACACAGCCATGCAAACACAACTGAAATGAAATAAAACTACAAAACTTCACGTTTACATTTAAAAAACGGGGTAGACACAGCATCATATTTCGTTATGATACTTACTATCAGCGATTATTTTTGTAATCTCGTGAGTATGAGTGTAAACTTGATATATGTATTCGTTGTCAGAATCATTGAAAGTGGATGCAATTTAGAATTAATTTATATGCAATATGTATGTTTATTGCATAAGAAAAAATAGTTATATATACATATTTATTAAAAAAAAAAAAAAAAAATAAAGTGTGGAATTTTTAGACCAATTGCAACAGTGAAACAATTAAGCATTTAATTTTTATTTGTGTCAGCCAAAAGTCACTGTTGGCTGACAGTATTTTGGTCGATGCTCCATCTTTAGGTACATGATCTAAGATCATTAAGTGGACATGTATCAATAAATTATGATAATATCACATGGAATTTGTGTAAAGGTATTTTGTTACAAGCTGCAACGAGTCAGGTATTTTTACGACAACTTAGAGAATCCATTTTGGTTATGAATAACTTGAAATTATTATGTTAATTAACTAGTTATTACAACTAGTTATCAATCACTATTATTATTTTTACCGAATGACTTGTTAGTTTTGTTTCTCGTTACCAGTTGTATAAAAAATGTGTTTTTTTTTTATTCAAAGCATAGTGCCCACGTCAAACGTGAGGCGTCGTTAAAAAATTATACAGCCTTTGCATTAGGGACAGTCAAGCGCGAAGGGTTCAGATATAAAATATAACTTGTGAACATCTAGACAGCTAAAAACTGTAAAATAAATAGGCAGGGAATTAATAACGTGGTCGCGGCAAACGGGCTGGTGAATAGCGGTTATTTTAAAAAGCTAGTTTAATAAAACTAATTAACCGTTATTAATAAATAACGGTTACAACAAACCGGTTTTAGACTTGTACGTAACAAACAATAATAATATTTTTATTATTAAGTAATTAATGTCTCTTCTCCATGTTTATCCATCACGCCTGTCCCCCATTTGGGCAGACAGAAAGAATAATATAAGAATATAATTCTAATATGTTCGGCAAATAATGACTATGTATTCGTTACATTCACCACAACAATAACTGTTGCAAATAATCACAGGTGTGATTTTTTATTTCACTGCCGTCATATTAATGTCAAAATCCTAATAAACCTATCGACTACTTCTGTCTCTTTCTGTCGTGCTACATTCTAATTCAAAAGAAAGTGATAAAACACACTAATAGTTAAAATAGGTTTGCAGGAGGTATTAGCTTTTAGATGTGTTATTAAGAACACCTAAGCCTATTGTTTAATATTAATAAGTAAATCTACTGTCGAATTTAAACTCTTCTACGTTTCCTAATAAAATTTTCTGAACCATAATTTAAGATTGTGTTCTCAAAAAAAAAAAAACGACTTCAATTAGTTATTTTCATTTAGAAACTAAACAACTGAAGCGATTTTGATAAAATTTTAATGGAACCATATTGTAAGTATATCCTTTTGAGATAAAAAAATAAATTTCTAAATCGGTTTACAAATGACGGAGTTTAGAAGGGACAAACAAAAAACTACAATCAAATTAAGAACGCTTCCTTCTTGAAGTCGGTTGAAAATACATTAAATTTGTTTTCAGTTATACAGAATATATGGTTCATGCTATTAATTAAACTAATGGGGCTTAACTCCTATATTTTTCAATTAAATTAACATTTTTACCTAAATGAGAATCGTGATTATAGATTAAATTAGTAATATTTAGTAATTACCCTGATATGAAATTAGTTGAATTTAAAGTATACAAGTTTTTTTTTTTTTTTTTTTGACTCCCGATAGTAGTGCAAGATTTTAGCATCGTTTTTATAGCGTTTCAACCGCCGCGTCCGAAACGCCCGTGTGCCGCGACCGGACGAAGAGATCAGTCTAAAAAACCATGCAAGCATCCTCTCTTAACACTATCGAATCGTTTTTCGTATGTTTTCTATTTATTAATGGCGCGTCCTAAAAATTTCGTGTTTCGAGTTCCCTAAGTTTCATCTTTTTTTTTTTTAATTTTTTTTTTCTTTTCTTTTTTAATAGTCGTCGAGGTCCACGTCGTCGAGAGGTTCGTCGAGCTGTAGAGATTGGAAATCCACTTTGTATCGTAGTATGCCTATTGTTTTGTATAAAGTTATATCGTTTATTGTGCATCCAGCGTTGTCCAAGCAGCAAGAAAAGAAGAGAATATACAAATTAGACGTTTTAGTATAAGCATTTATATAAATAATCAAATATATACATACACAGGTTAAAAGTAAAACATTAGAATCGTTAAAGCAAATATTCAACGAGACGTCCAATTTCAGAACATTTTCTCCAAAAAAAAAAAAAAAAACATAGATCTTAAAACAGTCAAAAAATTTAGGGTAAAAGGTAAATTTAGTTATTTGGATATAGTTGACAAATTATTTTTGTAGTATTTCGATTCAAATTTCTTTACTATTCTAGTATTATTTCCATAAAAGAATTCTGCAAACATCTCGGTCGTGATGGTAAGTGGTAACTAACCAACTAACCTATGACGGTGTGATGGTTACCACTTACCACTACATGTCTATGACAAGTCTCATGCACTGTCATATCTGAGTGCTATGGTGTTACACCTCTGTACCCTGTAATTTCACTGCTTCTGGAGGTTCCTTAAAATCAAAACGGTCATAGATCACAGGTAATTCGTAGACGGGTACATGAATGAGCCACTTACCGCCTATGCCACCGAAGCCCCGCACGAACTGGCTGCCCTCCTGGCTCTTGTCGGTGATGATCTCGAGGGTGGCTCCGAATGATTTGTAGTTGTTCGCGAGCCACTCCAGCAGCGGCTGGCATTCCACCAGCTCCAGTTCTACCCCGCTCTGGAATATGGAGTAATTACCTTGAATTTTTTTTGGCTGTACTAGCCACGACTCACACGCACAACGGCCCAAATGAGAGGCTAAGTGCGGAAAACAGAGTCTTTCTTACATTACATTACCTTGAATTTTTATAGACAAAACATTTGGCCCTGTGGTCCCGGCATAGAATAGAGCACCCCTGCCTATCCTGTGGGTATCATAAGAGACGACTAAGGGACGGCAAGGGATAGGTAGCAGCATCCCTCTTAAAACATCTCTAAAAGCCTGACTGCGGTTGCCGATTCGCTTGCCAAGCGTGGCAACTACTGGCAAGGTAGCCCCATTGCTAGCAATATACCCCCTATCAGGTCGACCTCCACGCGGTCCTTCCTGGAAACCATTGTACTGTATTCCAAGTGTAACCATCGTGAACAATTCTTGTTGAATTCATCACGATGTGATAACTGACCTGCCTTCACCCTCATCTATCATCTTTCACTGGTGCCCCGCCGGTGTATACCGATAGCGCAGGCGGGATTACCATTCCATCTTCACCCATCAAGACCCTGCCCACCACACTGCTAATCTCCAATTTGTACCCACCTCTTTGTCCGTGAAGTGTGACTTGTCCTTCTCTTGCTCGGGCGTGAGGTGCAGAATGGTCTCCTGGTTGGTGGCGTGCGACTTCAGCACATATCTGAAACAGATGGCAGGATATTTAACAATAATACAAATTCAAATTATCTTTATAAAAAAAGACTAGCTTTCGCCCGCGACTTCGTCCGCGAGACATAATCACTGACAGCCATAATAAGTAGCCTCCAACTCATATAGTGCTGACAGTGGTCACCCTTCCTAGTTGGAACTGGGTTTGCTTAACTTGCATTAGCGGGGGGAAAAGGATTGTTAGTAATGGAGACTGAGAATCCCATTGCTAGCAATATACTCAACCGGGTTGACCAACCTCCTTGCGGTTCCCCCTGGAAACTATCATGGTTAATTCCTGATGAATTCATCATGATGGGCTAACTGGCCTGTTTTCATTCTCATCTATCACCCTTCACTGGTGCTCCGCCACTTCTTTGTCATAATTATATTATATTTTATCCTTTAATATAATATTTTAATAAATTGTATTAAGTAAATTTTGGTATTTTAAAGTCATTCAACTGCGAATTACGTAATTAGTTCATCCATTACAAACAATAAGACAAACAAACATTTTCTATTTATAATATTAGTATTTATAACATTAGCTACTAGCTCCGACTTTACACCCCCCATATATACCAAAATCTTCCCTTTCTTTATCAAAACTTAAAAATATGTAATTTTCAATTTAATCATCGTCATATCATATCAGCCCTTAATGGTCACTGCTGAACATAAGTCTCCCCCTTGGGGGTTTTACCAGTAGTTGCTATGCTTGGCAGGAGAATTGGCGAACGCAATTAGACTTTGATAATGTTTTAAGAGGGCCGCTGCTGCCCATCCCTCGCCCACCTTTAGTCACTTCTTACAACACCTATGGGAAAAGAAGAAGCCCATTTTATGCCAGTAACACACAGCAATAATAACTAAAATATTTCTCATGTCATTATATGTTATTCCTTTTTCCAGCAAGCAGTGTCCATATTTCAACTGAAATAATAGTGATGTACCTAATTATCTAAAGCGCATGAACGCCTACGAGGTTTTTTAGAAACCAGTGTCCCTACTTAAATACATATCTCCCATGATTTTTTATTGCAACTTAGAATGGCAAGCAAGCCGACGGCTGGATGGGACAGACTGTTCAAACATTGTCTAGTCTACCTATGACAGAACGATAAATATATAAAGAAGTGTGGACTGAAAGACGATGTAGTGACAAAAATCGAAAAAGGAATGTTGCGATGGTTTGGCCATTTGGAGAGGATGGATGAAAGAATTACGAGACATTTATCGAGCAAGAATGAACGGAGATGTCGGTAGGGGCCGCCATAGAGATAGGGCGTATGTCGACCAAATAGGCGACCGTGCCGAAGAAGGGCCAAATTAAAAGTACCCGTAACTGGTGAGCGTGTATGGAAAGATTGATGAATTCAAAATTCAAAATTCAAAAATCATTTATTCATGTAGGACATTTTAGCCGCTTATGAACGTCAAATTTTTACATTATAATTTTATTTTTTTCCCTACCGTCTGTGTGAACCGTACTGTACGTGTGTGATATGTACCGAATGTGGAGGAAGTAAGAGGTTTGTTTGAAAAAAAAAAATCATTTGGTGTTCCATTGTTTCTGCCTACCCTAATGGGAGACAGGCGTGACAGATGTGTATGTATATACCTCTGTATGTCGAGGTTCTCCCAGCAGATCAGCGTCTCGACGGCGCCCAGCTCGAGCGCGCGCAACGTGTCGTCCACACCGAAGCAGTATTTGCCTGTGTCCTGTACAATTATGTTTATTTATTTATTTATATGCTTTTATACATTCACTTTGTAGATATTAGGTTATAATGAAAACGTACAGAGGCGAACTTATTTTTATGCAACTTAGAATTGCAAAAAACCTGATGGAAAGTGATAACCGTCGTCTATAGACATGAGCAGTACCACAGACATAACAGAGTATACTGTTTCGCCCATGATATCCCCATGCGTTGTCATTCCTAAGGTCTCAGATGTTATTCCTCTGTACCCTGTCATTTGTTTGACCGCCTCTGTCCTATTCGTGTTTCTATCGTGAAGCGTTAAAATTGGTCACCTGTGAAATTTCATCGAAGTACCGGCCAATCAGTTTCTTCTCCTGTATGAACTTGACGTTCTGCAACGACTCTGCCGCCAGCTCGATGGCCTGGTTGAATCCGTTCTCGCCGCCGTACGATACGTCCACCAGCTTGATGATTTTAGCTTGCAGACGCTGTAGCAATAAAAAATATATATAGAATCCGACACGTTTAGATCTCTTTTAGAGATAAATTTATTTTGGCGTATTTCTAATTGCTATTATTATTCTATCATCATCATCATCATCAGTCGTTAACTGTCCACTGCTAAACATAGGCCTCTCTCATAAGGAAAGTTTTCTATGCTTGACAGGAAGATTGGCAACCAGTTAAATTTTGGTAATATTTTAAGAAATATCCTTTAATCGCCTCTTACGAAAACCACGGGAAAGGAGGGATGCCCATTCTATGCCGGGACCATACAATAATATAAACAAAAATAATTAATATAATTGTGAACTAGGGTACCAAATTGTACAGGTCAGTTGGGATGGCATAATTTTAAGTCTACCGATGACGAACGTAAACCACTATTGTATTTGCTTTAGGGGTAGGTAACATATAGCAATACCCATATATTTTAGTTTTTTTTTTTTATATAACTTTCAATGGCAAACAAGCTGACGGCCCACCTGATGCAAAGTCGTAACCGTCGCCTATAGATATGAGCAGTACCATGGAATACAGAGAATACTATTTTGCCCATGATACCCCCCATGTTTTGCCGTTCCACAGGACTCAGGTGTTATTCCTCTGTACCCAGTACATTCACGCCATATCCCACCCTTCAAACCGAAACACAGCCATGCAAACACAACTGTTTCATAGTTGAAACACGTATGGGACAGAGGTACCCAAGCAAACGACTTTTGTACAGTCTCCCTTTGGTAAAGTTACAATATCTACATACTGGTTCAGTAACGAATATGTTAAAAGTCTGTTATTCCAAAAATTATATTGGATAGCAGATATTCGAAAATAGATATCCAACCCATATGGGCCATATCGAAATTGGTGATGACCATTTTTCCGCCATCAATATCCAGAAAAACCAAAATATATGTAGGTATCCGATCGGTAAGACAGAAATCCCTGTAACAGTGAAGTCACTTCATGAGGCCAGTGAAGATCTCAGGAAGCTTCTGTGCTCTCTGAGCGGAGCTGGGCTGGCTGTACTAGCCATGCCATAGCAATAGCCATGATGCAGAAAATAAAGTCCAATTTATATTACTTACATCTGAAACAGCGTATTTTGAGCGATATACCATTATATAACGGTAATGTCAATTTAATACTAGGTCAAGCCGGCAGTCGCAATGCAAGACTGCTATATCTGTGGGTAAAGGTGTCCCTGACGGACTGACAGACTGACTTTCAGACAATCCCTATGAAGCTGTCACTCCAGTGTACTAAAGCCTCAACAAAAATTTTGTTCGCGACATTACAATCATTTTATAGTTATAGCGATAATTTATAGTTGTTTTTTGTCATTAGTTTAATCATTTTTATATTGTTACTTTTACATAGATTTTAAGATGTATCTATAGCGTAAGTTGAATAAAACATTTGATTGTGTCTTGTTATTATTACCCATAAATAGAATAAGAAAAAGAAATTGTAAAAGTAAATAGAAATAAGACAATTGTAATAAATAAATAGATGCCATATGGTGCCGCTCTGAAGAGATACGCGTCTCTTTCACACTCGCCCCGTCCCGCTCGCACAGACTCGCTAACGCGAGTTAGTACATGTTATCGTGCGATCGGGCGGGTATAAAGATAAGCCGCCTACCGTCGAGCGGCACGCATTCACGCACTGCACTCCCAACCGAGAAGAAATAGGACAAAAGAAAAACTCTTCAGACGGTACCGGGAGCTTCAGAAAAGGAATCAGTGTGTTTCTCTCCAGCCTGAACCAGCGCCCCTACAGTCCACGCTCACCGAAATTTCACGTTCAAATTTGTTTAAAAAAAAATTATTGGATCGGTATCCATATTATCTATGCATGCTTTTCATCTTCAGTTGCATGAAATTAACTTACCGGATCAAACATATCAGACTGGGACAGCTCGGTCTTGAAGTCTGCCGAACCGGCCAGGATAAGCCCCGCCACGTTCGGCCGGTCTGCGCTGATGAACAGCTGTGTCGCCACCTCCGCCACCTTGCGGACGTAGTTGTGCCGCTTTTCCATGCGGAGACGTGCGAAACGCAGCGCTGATTGACCACCGCGGCCGTGCTTCTTCGGCAGATCCACTGTGAACTTGTGCAGTACCTGGAATAGGATAATAGTAATATAGTTTCTCTCCCTGAGGTATTCAGTCTAGACTCTAGATCGGTGTTTCCGAACGTGGGGCCCACGCTCCACAGGGAGGCAATTAAAGAATGGACTGGAAGCGATTTTAACCCTCTTGCTCCTGGCCATTTAAATGCAATGCTAGAAATAAACATGGGTGCTAAATTTAACAAAAAAAAAAGTTAATAAAAAAATACTGTAAAGTTAGGCATAATTTCGATTGACGTTACCAAAATATCAACTGGGCGATTAGAGTCGTCAAGTAAACTTTGTCGGGAAAAATTACGTATGGAGACATAAAAATTTTAGAAATGTTCAAGTGGGGTATGGCACAAAAAAGGTAGGGAAATACTGGTGTAGATTGAAGTTGCGACACATTTCAACTAAAACAATGCACTATTAGGCAAGTAATAGATTGCTATTTCACTTAAACAGAAACCAAATTTCAGTTTTTGTATTTTATAAGGTTTTTTTAACTTTTATAAGGAGCTGAATCCTGGGTTTTTGCTCTTTTTATTTAAGAGTTTCCTTTCGTGAGTGCAATTAATTCATGCCTATACCTCCAATCAGTTCTATCCCATGCCTCTTCATTCCATTCTTTCCATCCTTCACTTATGTTATATAGGGATATATGACATGACACCTAGCCATTTTTTTTCTATCCCATGTAGTTGCTTCTCTTTCATCTCCTTCCTCTTTATCCCTCTATACTTCCTTCTGGAATGTTCTTTATAAAATCATCATGTCATATAAGGTGGCCCAACATTTTTTGCTACTGATTTATAAATTATAACTAAATTAAACTAACCTCTCTGGTGTTCCCTTGCAGCGTACCAAACAATGCTCCGTTACCATCCATCACGATGAAACCAAACTTGTTATCATCAGCCAGGAGCGCTGTCAGGGCTTCAGTGTGGAATTTGTTGTCGCACAGATAGAGTGATGTGTTGATGGGTTTGAACGGCTCAAAGTCTATGTTCACCTTCTTCTCTTTGCCTTCTTCGGTGACGATCGTGCCACAGTAGATGACCAGGCCATTAGGAGGCACTGGAAATAGATAAAAGTATTTATTAGATAACAAATACAGACTGGCGTCCAAAGCGTTCTAACAATCTTTGTCCCCAATAAAATACTTGCAGTGTACAAAAATTAAAAGTGTCTCTATGATGTTCATTTGTATTAGTCTGTGAAAGTAATAAATTGCAGCTGTCAATACTGTCAATAACGAAGCTTTGGCTGTGTTAACTTATGATTAGGCTGTATGGGCCATGATCTTTGCTTGTCCATTTTTGCCGAATTTTAAAACAACAACAAACCTTTAGTGTATAGCTTCAGCCGGTGCTGCACAGATGTGATGGCGCCGAGCACGGATAGCCGGTTCACGCGTGACTTTATATTCGACGCAGTTCCGAACTCGTCCGCCAACATTTTCGACACCCGAGAGATCTGATCCTTTGGCGGAATTATGAGGGATATCATTGATGTACCATTCCTGAAATGTGAGAATGAGATATTAGATAAGAACATACAACATTCTTTGAGGAATATGACTATGACTGCCAATTTCATATTTCTAACTAGTTGACCCAGTACTTGGATGGACTGGAATTGATGGGATGAAACTTTTAAACTTGATTGCTTGGGTACCTCTGTCTCATTCATGTTTCAACTGTAAAGCAGGTGTGTTTGCATGGCTGTGTTTCGGTTTGAAGGGTGGGATATGGCGTGAATTTACTGAGTACAGAATAATAACACCTGAGTAACAACGCATGGGGGGGTATCATGGGTGAAACAGTATAATCTTATGTCCATAGTACTGCTCATGTCTATAGGCGACGGTTACCACTTTCCATTAGGTGGACCGTTAGCTTGTTTGCTATTCTAAGTAGTATAAACAAAAAAAAATAGAAAAGCAACCTATCCTGAGATAAAGTATCAGTGAATGATGATAGGTAAGGATGAAATGAGGACAGATGGAGTAACTTTAAATTCCATCATTAAAAAAGAATACACATTTACATTTTTAATTTCAAATTGAGAGCAGTTTTAGAGTTTAGCATGGGTGTGCATTTTTTTTTTGCAGTGCAATATTAGCACTACTTCCTATGCCACTGCGTTAGGTTGACTGGAAGAGATCTCTTTTAGAGATAAGTTCGCCTTTGCTAACATTGTTATTAACTTATTGTTGTTACTGTATGTTTTTGTGCAATAAAGAATATATATAATATTTATTGTTGTAACATTTAATATTTGTTTCACTTGATATATAAAAATTATTGTTCGCGACATTATTGTACATGTGTAATTATAGCGATATTTATAGCAATGTTTATAGTTAGTTGTTAAGTCCCTAGTTTAATCGTTTTTGTATACTGTTATTTTATATAGATTTTACATAGATTTAAGATACCCATAGTGTAAGTCAAATAAAGCATTCTTTACGTGTCGTTATTATTACCTGCGAATAGAAATAGAAATTGTAAAAACAAATAAGAAATTGTAAATTGTGATAAATAAATAGACGCTATAGGGTACCGATCTGAAGAGACACGCGTCTCGTTCACTCTCGCCCCGTCCCGCTCGCACAGATTCGCTAACGCGAGTTAGAAATGTTATCGTGCGAGCGGGCGGGTATAAAGATAGGCCGCCTCCCGTCGAGCGGCAGAGAGCTCCCGTGCCTGCAGTGAGACCGTCGTGTTCGTGCGTGATCCTTCTCGTGAGTACTCCGGGCGACCGTCGAGACTCCGAGTAGCGTCTTCCCCAGCACGTCGTGACTCCTGCGCCTTCGAGAGCCCTCCAGAGCTGCCGCCGAGCGCCGTGGGACGCCACAGCCGCCGCTACAGCTCACCGCCGAGGAATCAACTGTGCAATCGTAAGATTGTACAGTCGGATTCCTCCTACACGTGCCCGCGAGCTTCGTGCTCCGTGTCTTCGTGCCGCCGCCGAGTAGGACGTCCTTTTCAGGACGAACTCGAGGCCGTCAGCCCTTCTGAGGGCTACAAGCCGACGGGGAGATAGTCCGTGCACCTGGGTGCACCAGTGTAGGCACCTGTGTGCTACACGCCAGGGCACGGTCGAGTCGTAGGGTTAGGGACCGTAGGTCGTCGCGGGGGTTCTGTCCCCCCGCACCCCTCTCGGCCGTTCCGGAGAGTGTCGCCTCACGGGGAGGACAAGTGCACTCACGGTAACGGTCGAGAGCACGGTCTTCCCGGCCGTGTCGACTCCACCCCCCCCCCCTCCTCCAGCAGTAGGGATCGTTCGTGGGGTTCCAACCCCCACATTCCCCTCTTTCAAACCGTAGGGTGTCGTCTCACAGGGAGAACAAGTGCACCCACGGCGAGACTGAGGGCACCGCCTGAGTCCCCACTTGGGCGGTGTTGGTCCAGCGACCCCTTCGCCCTTCGTGGGCTACTAAGTTAGGGACCGTAGGGACACCATCACCATCACCATCACCATCACCGACAATAATGTCTGAGCGCGAGGGGAAACCCCCCCGCAAACCTTTTGAGTCGGCCAAACGGCCGACCCGCACTCCTTCCGCGTCGGCGCCTAGGGCGCCGGCGCCACTGCCACAGCGGCAAGCCGTGCCGAGGCAGGCAGGCAGTAGCCGACCGGTCCCAGAGACAGATCTGGGACCGTTTCACACCCGCCGTGAGGCTAGGTTAGCACTCGCTAACCGCAACGTAACCGCTGCGGAAGGGGAACGCGCCGAGCCGAGCGGCGACTTGTCTGGCGCCACGCCGTCTACGGCCGCCAAACGCCGCACACCACCATCGCCCGCTCTCTCGGGAACACCTTCAGAGAAGCGGCTAGACGCAGGCGACTCACCGCCGTCGCCCCGTCTCGCTCCCGCACCGCGCTACACTGACCGACCGTCTCGCTCGGTGAACGCGCCGTGCGAGGCGCGCCCGCACACACGGCGCGCCACACCCCCCCGCTCGCCCTCGCCTGCCCCCTCTATCGACAGCGAGGACGAGCGAGTTATGGATTTCGACGCCTTAGGCGCCCTGGGCCATCCCAATAAGGATGACGAGACCTCGTACGTCGCACTGGAGAGTGTCGACGTACAGGTCCGCTCCGTGGGGACATTGTCCCCCACCAAATCTTTCGCGGACGCGGCCGCGGCCGCTCCCGCTCCGCGCCCACCGACGCCTCCCGCTACCACAAAGGAGGCAATCGACCATAAGCAGCCTGGGCAGGGCAAATACCCGCCCATTATTGTGGAATGTCTGCCGCGGTGGACAGATCACTTCGCCGCACTCACCCGCGCACTGGGTGAGCCGCCCAACGCCCGCCCCTACGGCAAGGGCGTCCGATTCCTGTGCAAGACGGACAAGGAGTTCCGTCTTGTACAAAGATACCTAACCGAGGCCGGCGCAGCTGACCCAGCAATCAGCTGGTATTGCTACAGCCTGGCCTCCGAGCTCCCCACAAAGGTGGCAATAAGGGGTCTCCCGTCCGACACCACTTCGGACGCGGTAGCGGACGCCCTCGAAAAAATTGGGTACCCCGTCCGCCTAGTGCGGGGTATACCGGCCCGCCGCGGCCGCCCAGGCTGCGTATTCCACGCCCAGCTCGATCCCTTGAGCAAGGACGAGCTGGATCGTCTTTATGCCACGCATGAACTTTTATTCATGCGTGGCGTCACAATCGAGGGCTGGCGGCCCTCAACTTCCTCCCTGGCACAATGCCACAGGTGCCAGGGATTCGGCCATTCATCGGCCAACTGTCACCGGCTCATCAAATGTGTCCGATGCGCCGGTGAACACGCGGCCGCTGATTGCGACCGGCCGCGCGACCACAAGCCTACCTGTGCAAACTGCGCCAAGCCGCACACCGCCAACGATAGACGGTGTGCGGTTTACAAGAGAGAGGCGCGCCGCCGGGGGATCCAAACCCGCCCTGCCGCCCCCGCTGCTCCGACGCGCGCCCCCGGCGCCGACAGACGCGCAAGAGCGCCCGCACAGTCGGCGCCGACTCAGGCGCAACTTCCCACACGCGCACCGGTGCCGCAGCGAACTTTCCGACCGCTGGCACCGGTGCCGGTGACAGTCGTCCCACCGACGATGTCGTCCCGGGGCACACTCATGGCCCCGGCAAACCCACCCACTAATCGTGGTGAGGCGCCCAAGCGCAGAAGGCGCAACAGGGCCGGCAGGAGGCGTCGTAACCGCGAGCAAAACGCGGTTACATCGACGCCGTTCGAGGAGGTCGCCCCGCCGACGCAAACCCGCGGCCGCGCCGCGTTCGAACAACGGGGACTTATTCCCCCCCCAACTCAACCGTTCCAAACATCTGCGCGGCGAGGGACTGCATTACCGACAGTCGCTTCTGTACCGGTTTCGTCCGCTCGCCGCCAGATGGCGCAAAACGTAGTGAACGAGCGACAGGAGGCGTGGCCGTCTTTGAGTGCCGCCCCACGCTACTCGAGTAAACCGCCGTGGCGGTCGGCCCAGACGGCCTCCCAACCACTACGTTCACTACGTTCACAACAGACGCGCGATTTACCTACGATAACAGACAATGGAGCCCTAACATTAATAATAGGGCTCCTCACAGATCTCCTTACGGCCCTAGCGGCCGGTGAGGACATAAAGTCGGCGGCTCTCGCCGGATTGGCCAAAATTAGCCAGTACAGAGTCGCGGAGTAATTCTCTCCGCGTCCTGTACTGGAACCCCGGGGGATAAAGGATAAGGTACAAGGCCTCCGTCTCCTTGCTCAAACCCAGGATGTGCATATCATACTCCTGGGGGAGACCAAGTTGGCTCCCAAGGAGACGTTGCGGGTGCCCAACTACTTTGTGTACAGACGGGACGAGCGGTCCCCGGCCGGTGCGGCATACCGTGGCACCGCCGTACTGGTCCGCCGCGACATCGTACACATGCAGTTGGCGCTCCCCGAGTTCCGCGTCATGCGCTCCATAGGAGTGAGCATTAACATCGACGGCGCGGAACTGAGAGTATATGCCGCCTATCGCCCCCGGTCAGAGAATTCTGCCCCTCCGATGTCCGGAACGTACTGGACGGTAGGAGTCCCACATTACTCATGGGCGATCTTAACGCCAAACACCCGACTTGGGGAAGCCGGGTGACATCGCCTGTGGGTACTAGACTCCTCCGTGACGCAGACAGTCACGGCTACGAAGTGTTGGGACCCGCACACCCAACACACATTCCCACGAATCGTAGACACTATCCAGACGTTCTGGACATAGCACTCGTGCATAGAGTGCCCTGCCCGGTCAATATGGAGGTGTTGTACGACTTGGACACACAACACCTCCCAGTTTTAGCCACGCTTGACCTAGGTGCGGTCGTCACCGCATCGCACAGGTCTGAGCGGCGGAGTACTAACTGGACGGCTTATCGCTCAAGCCTCCAGCACATTCCTCTCGACGGCGACTTTTCCACGCCTGAGGGAATAGAGGCCGCCTCTATCGATATACAGGAGCGCATTCAAAGCGCCCTAGAGGCGGCCACAACTACCATACACTCGGCAGCTCGCCGCCGAGTCGAATTGCCGGCACACTTGAGTGATAAGTTGTCGCGCAAAAGAGCACTCCGCCGCCTATGGGCCCGCACCCGTTGTCCACGGGTCAAGCGTGAGCTTAACTGTCTCGCTGCGGAGCTGTCGGAAGGAGTCCGCGACTGGCGTGGCTCCTCGTGGGAGGGTGTCATCTCCCACGCGGGTGAACACCAGTTCACCCTGTACGCCCTTAACCGACAGCTCACTAAGGCACGACCCCCGTCTGTCCGTTGTTCGATGAAACGGGCAGACGTCGTTACGCAGCCATTGACCGGGCAGAAATCCTGGCCAACCACCTGGAGGGGCAGTTCACTGCCAATCCGGTAGCCGCCGACGCACCCAGCACTGTCGTCGAGCACCATGAGCGCGTTGTACGTCGCGTGGGCGAGTTTCACACCGCTCCGACGCCGGACTTAACGGAGATTAAATTCGTTTCGCCCGGCGAGGTAAGGCGCATCATCGAGCGCCTACCTAGGCGCAAAGCGCCCGGAGCGGACAAAATACCCACGCCTGCACTCGCCCAGCTGCCCCGTAGAGCTTTAGTATTTATTACTAAGCTCTACAACGGTATACTCCGGACCGGCCACTTTCCATCAAATTGGAAACTCGGCCGAGTCATCGCCCTCCCGAAAGCCGGGAAAGACAAACGCTTCCCGGCCAGTTACCGGCCGATAACACTCCTCCCGCACGTAGCGAAGACCTTTGAGCGCGCGCTGCTCCGCCGGCTGTACCCGTACGTCACTCCACGGGACGAGCAGTTCGGTTTTAGGGGCGGCCATTCAACCACGCTCCAACTTGCGCGCGTGCTGCATCATATGGCCGTCGAGCATAACCGCGGTCGACGCGTAGTCGGTGTTTTTCTCGATATAGAGAAAGCGTTCGACCGCGTGTGGCACGACGGCCTAGTGTACAAACTGTTGATGCACACTAGCACGCCGCAAGCCTACGTGCGGGTAATCGACAACTTCTTACGAGGCCGGAACTTTTATGTTTCGGTAGAGGGCGTGGACTCAGCCGTCCACCCAATCGCCGCCGGAGTGCCGCAGGGCAGCTGCATTTCCCCAGCGCTATACGCGACGTACACGGACGACATTCCCACCTTGAGGGATGAGCTCCTCGAGGGAGAGAGCGATGTCGTCCTAGCTCTATTTGCCGACGACAGTGCATACTTCATGTCGTCGACCAATGCCAACTACGCTGCACGCAGAATGCAGCGTCTGTTGAACCGCCTGCCTGAGTGGCTCGATAAGTGGCGCACCTCCGTTAATGTGGGGAAAACGGTAGCGCTACTGACTCGAAGCCGCTCACATCATCCGCCGCCTCTCCAACTCCGTGGGTCACCCATCTCATGGGAGCGCACAGTGCGTTACCTAGGGGTAGAGATCGACCGGTCGCTGCACATGACAGCACAGGTTAACCGCGCGGTCACACAGACCAGGACCGCGCGGGCCATGCTGCGACCGGTCCTACAGTCCAATCTCTCGCTGCGAACGAAAATAGGCATATACAAGACTTATATTCGTTCGCAGCTGACGTATGCCTCCCCCGCATGGTACGCGCTGTGCTCCGACGCACAGAGGCGGCGCATGCAGGCGCAACAGAACTGCGTTCTGCGCATGTGCGCAGACGCGGGTCGTTACGTACGTAACGACGTAATTGCCCGAGATCTCGCGGTCCCCTCGGTGGAAGAGTTCGTCCGCCGGCTGGCACGTACAATGTTCAGCCGGGCGGACGCCAGCCACCACCCGCACTTGAGGGACCTAGCCCCGCTCCACGCGCGCCCACCGGACGCGACACGCGCATTGCCGCGAGATCTCCTGCGCACAGCAGGCACAAAGCAGGGCGACGGTTAAACCGGCCCTGCACGGTCGACGACACAGTATATAATGCTCTTTCTTCCCCCACACTTTATTCCCTCAGCCGACGCTATTTACAATAGCGTCGGCTCGACCCCACGGGTCGAAAATTAATGACGCACAGGCGGCAGCCTGTGCAGACCGCCCGGGTAAAGGGTGCACACCCGAGGCCCGCACCTGCAACCCTGTAAAGGGTTGCGGATGAACCCTTCTCTCTCTCGAGCGGCATTCGCTTACGAGCAGCGACGCACTACACTCGAGAAGAAATAGGACAAGAAGAAAAATACTCTCTTCAGACGGTACCGGAGGCTTCAGAATAGTAATCGCTGCGTTTCACTCCAGCCTGAACCAACGCCCCTACAGTCCACGCTCACCGTACGGCAGTCCACACCGTACAATTATGAATTGACTAAGTACATACAAATTTATAAATTTATATGCCAGAAATGGGAGGAGAGATGTTTGGGATGTATATTATAATTTAATTTTATACCCATGGTCAGATAAATGAATTGACTTAAACACTGTGACATGAGATTTTTATAAATTACTAGCAGCCCGTCCCGGCGTCGCACGGGTGGACATTTTTAACATTTCCCTTCACTGCTCTGTTCCTATTGATTATAGCATGATGAAAAGTATACTATAACCTGCCCAGGAGTATGAACAATAATTGTACCAAGTTTCGTTAAAATCCGTCGAGTAGTTTTTGTTTCCCTAAAGAACATACAGACAGACAAAAATTTTACTGATTGCATTTTTGGCATCAATATCGATCACTAATCACCCCCTGATAGTTATTTTGGAAATATATTTTATGTACAATATTAACCTCTCTACAGATTTATTATAAGTATAAATTAACTTCTTTCTACCTAACCTAATCGGATCTTGCTCTTCTCACACAGATATTATGCATGCCATTTTACAGGTATGCATGCCATTTTACAGGTATGCATGCCCTATCAGGAGAACTATTAGTAACACAGATACTGGCTCCCACTGCTAGCAAGATACTCTATCAGGCCACTTCCATATGTTCCCCCCTAGAAACCTTTTAATTAATTCCTAATGAATTCATCATGACAGATTATCTGACCTGTTTTTATCCTCACCTATCATCTTTCACTAGTACCCTGCCAATAAATACCAATAAAGCAAGCATTTGTTTTAATAACCATCTATTTCCACTTTTAAAAAAATTGTCTATTTAAAAAGTGTCAATTTTGTCTAAATAAATTAATAAACTTTGATGGTAATAAAGAAGTAATTAATTAAGAATTGAGAAAAAAAAAATTCAGATAAATTCCACTAAACAATTTTAATAACATTATATAATTTGTGAAGTATATATAGTGAATATACTCTTTGAATGAATGAAGTTAATTTTTATTTGTATGTATGGGAAGCATGACTCAACATGAGACACATTCAAAATTGTGTGACAAACATAAGTAATATTCCATCAACAGATAGCCTTATACATATTTCCTTAACCTATGATTAGCATTGTGAAAAAAAAAAAAAATCTATTGGCAAATAATTTTAAATATTGACTATTGTTGTTAGCCACTTTATCTTGTTCCTTCTATTATTTTTCTGTGGATATTTTTTTACTTTGTTTAATAAGGTTTCATAGAATATATACATATATTTTTATGCAACATATTACTTTTGAGTTTTGGTATTTGTTTCCAACTATCAGGGTTTTTTTTTTTTGATGGGTGAAAATGGTATGGTAAACCCGCCTGCACTAACGGGATATGCTGGCGGAGCACCAGTAAAGGGTGATAGATGAGAATGAAAACAGGCCAGTCAGCCCATCATGATCAATTCATCAGGAATTAACCATGATAGTTTCCAGGGAGAACCGTGAGGTCGATCTAGTTGGGTATATTGCTAGCAATGGGATTCTCAGTCTCCATTACTAACAATCCCTTTCCCCTCCAACTATCAGGGTTAAACAATAAAGTCATTGTAAATATAGTTTTGAAGAAGAATAATAGATAAAACAAGAGTATTTTTTTTTTATTTCTACAGTGTAAGTGCTGACAAGTATCAACTAAATGAAGCAACCTAGTGGTGATTCAATTAGCTATTCAGGATTAGCTACTGTAAGGGTAAACATTTGTATTGTTTGCTTTGCAACCATTATGTTTTTATAATGATTTATTTAAAAGAAAAATGAACATTTAAAAGCTATTCACCTAAACGACATTTTCAAAAATGGAACATAGACAATAATTAAAAAAGTGAAATTTTTTATTAATAGTGTTTGCCAAATTTGTTTGTTCATAATTAACTAGTGAGTACACGGAAAAGTGATCTACAAAGACCAGAAGGTCGATAACTGCGTGATTATTATAATTAGATCCATTGTTTGTTTAATGTCCAACAAAGGTCGACAGCAAACTGAAGTTGGTTTTGCAAAAATTATCGATCTGTTTGTTTGGCTAAGGAATGCAAATATATATATATATTTTTTTAATAATTCCGTAACCAACTTGTGCAATGCGCATTGCTTGGTACGTGTGTCGCGTGTTGCAAAGGTTATACGCGCATGCAAGGCGGCGCATGTGTAGACAAAGACAGCCGTGCTGGCACTGGCATGACTTTGCTTCCTCAAGCCGACCACGTCACAAAAAGACGAATAGAACTTACCCTCTAGCCATCTCCAAGCTTTTTATGAGCTTCTTGATCTTCCATATTTCGACATTCCGATCTGCTGACGATTCCTCAGACATTTTGTTAGGTTTTAATTAACTAATACACCACAGAAAACACTAATTATAACGAAAATAAAAGAAATATAACACACAATTAACTTCTAAATAAAGGTAAACTAGGGAAAGGGAGCCCTACTCGCGGTTTGAACTGCTAAAAACCAGATCGAACCGGACGGACAAGACACCTCGCGACTTAGTTCACACACTTTCTAATTCACATTTACGTCCGCTATCGCTCGTACTTTTCTTCTGGTGCGGGGATTCTTGGATTTCTTCTTAATTCGGTTACCCCTAAGCATGTGGGACACAGAAATAAGACATTACACGGATAAAAAGATGACGTGACCAAACGATCGAACGAACGCCTCGTCGCCCGTCGGGAAAATGAAAGAAAAAAAATTATAGTGATGTGCACATAAAGTAGACCAAACTAAAATCGATTTATAACAATGGAGTGTTAATCAATTAACTCGTTAATAAATAACGTTTCAAAATTATATACCAACATTACCTGTACATGAATATATAAAAATTTTGTTATTATTGGCAAACGAAATTTTATTGTATCTATTAATTTAAAACTTATTGTAATTTGTATTAAGTTTTTCTGTATTGATGAGAATAGTAAAAAATATCTTTATACTCCTCTTCTCCTGTTAACAAGCTGCTTATGAATGTAATAAAGACACAGTGATAACCTCACCTATGCTATTAATACATACGTACTGCCAGGGTACCACATAATGATACAATGATGAAGTCTGACTTATTGATCTAATATGACGAATTTACTGGAAATCAATATAGAAATACATTTTTATCCTATTAAACCATAATAAAATTCGTTTTTGATATCGATTTAACCAAGATTTTTTTTAATATAGTACATTACTATTCAAACGTACATCACTATTTGTGATAACATTTATTTTTAAAATTTCTACGGCAAATGATATGTGAATACTTACGTAATTATATTAAAGTAAATGAAATCTTTGAAATATAAATATTATATTTGGTACAAATTTATTTTGAAGTTCATTTGCAGTGATTGACGTTGTATTTCTTTGTCGTCTGTATAATATTTAGAGGGGCACCAAATATTACCACTGCTTCTTAATATTTATAAAAAGCAATTCTAACTAGAAATGTCAAGTTAAATGTCAATGAAAGTCAATTATTTTTAAGGTTATAAATTTCGCAATCACGGCTTTCCTATTGAAGTCCGAAATGTTATGTAGGAAATTCAAACAAATATTCTTTAATAGGTCCATGTTAAATGATAAAGTGCAATATTATCTGCTATCATCACGTTTATCGAAGCGATGCGTACTGTTGGATAGTTTATTGACAATATCCAGAGGCGAACGGAGAATGTCGTATTTTCGTCTTACTCTAAAAGATTTGCGTGTTACGAGGCTGTGGAATGTTTGGAGACGCAATTGTTTTGTTAGTGCGGTGGTGAAAAGATGTAGGAAGGATGTGAGCGTGCGCGAAATGATACAGGCATTCAGGCACGCAATTCTGCGACCAAGACGAACTTTACTATTGTCGGCTACCGCTGCGTATAATAATCATGCAGAAGACAACGAACCGACGCCTAGCTGCGCCGAAAGTATCACAGATGAAGAACTAGAGGTTTGTTAAAAAAAAAAAACTTTTTTATTCCTTATTTCCATTTTTAAATTTTACTCTACACATATTTATAGTAAAGATAAGATATCATAAACAATAGTATTGATTTTTATTATACGACTGATAAAAGTTTATTTGTTTCAAGATTATACAAATTTAGATTTTAATGAAATAGTAATACATTTTTACTAGAGATATTGTTATATAAACCCTGTCATTATTGTACAATATTACATTAAAATATTTTTTTTTTTTTACATACCACAAAGGTGTCAAACAAGCATACAGCCCATCTGATGGTAAATGGTTACTGTAACCTATGGATGCCTGCAACACTAGGGGGTGTCATATGCACATTGCTCTCCCTGAAGAAACCTTAATTTACTCTTTTTGAAAAAAGTCTTTACTATACTAAAATATATAAAGTAAAATGGTTTGTTTGTTGAAATGTGATAAACTCTTTAACTGGCAATCAGATTTGAAAAACGAGAAAGTTTATAAGCTATTTAACATCCCAATATGACAATGGGTGAAGCCACAGGATACAGTTATAAAATAATGTGGATATGAATCTATTATTACTTGTTGTTCTAATTGCTTTTTTTTATGCAACTTAGAATAGCAAACAAGCTGACTGCCCATCTGTAGAAAGTGGTAACCCTCACCTATAGGCATGAGCAGTACTATGGACATAACCGAGTATATTATTTCATTCATAATACCCCCCCCATATGTTGCCATTCCTGAGGACTTAGGTATTATTCCTCTGTACCCTGTAAATTCACTGCCATATCCCACCCTTCAAACTGAAACACAGTCATGCAATCACAGATGCTTCAATGTTGAAATATGAATGAGACAGAGGTGCCCAAGCAAATGACTTTTGTGAAAAATCAATGTGCTTAATCAATTGTCATAAAATTTGCTATCGACATTGTTTTTTAACTGTTTAATTCTATTATAAAGGCTATTATTTATTCTAATAAATAGCTAATAAAGTGCCAGTTATATAAACAACTGATATAGAATTTTTTTTATGTTTCATCATATAATCATTTATATAACCATGATTGCTGATTGTGTTTAAGGAAAGTTCCCAGGAGAGGGCTCCGCTCTGTGAAATAACAAGTAGATTGTTAAGTATTTTCTTGGGTCCCCCACTTGGATTTCAATTTAATATTTAAAGATGTCGAGTACTGTTGTAGTGTAAATACTTCTTGGTAGTTAGTTTTTTTATTGTACCTGTCTGTTACAGAATTGTCACCTTAATAAAATTGTCTTGCTACTAAAAACATCACTGGATTCCTATTATTTATTGTCCTCTGATATTTAGCGCAAACTATATATACAAAAAGTACTTAATGTGAATCCTTTATTTAAAAAAAACACTCAAGACAAAAGCAAAGTGTAATAACTTTCTAATATTAAGTGTATTTTATAATAAACTAGCGGCCCAGTACGTGCTTCGCTACATATAAAGTGAAATAAGAATAAAAAAAATTTTTACATCAAATTCATTTATTCAAATAAAAAATTATTTTATTAATTGCTAGCTATTTTAATTGTCACAACACTAAAAAAAGTTTAAATTTGACAGCACAATGCCCATCTTAAAAAAAAGTTTGAATTTGACACAAAAATCCCCATTAACAAAATGATCCGCCATTTATTGAATTCATTTGTTACAAAAAATGTGATAAATGAAGAACTGCTGGATCGATTTTGTGCAAACTTCACATAAACCATCTACTAAATAGTGCCAACAAAGCCTAAACATTTGGTTTAGATAGGTGAGTCCCCTTCTTGAGTTATAAAATTACAACGAAAAGTGACATTAATTCTTATATATATAGATTTGTCAGTTTCCTATTTTGGTAGAATTATAGTAAAATTTCTATTATCTGAATCAAATAACACCAGGGGGTATTCTGTATAATCGAAAATCCAGATAACGGATTTCAAAGTAAAAGAAAACAATAATAAAATTTTTAATTAATTTTTTTTTTATTATTTAAAGGTTTTTACATATGTCATTTAGACAATACAATATAAAAAAAAAATAATAGCTGTATTTCAACTGATCAGTTTGTTTATAGCATTATATGTGATTTTTGTAGGTTGATATAATTTTTTTTATTTATGAACCGATTGAAATAAAACAATAAATGTTAAGTGAAGTAAACTGCAATGCATTAGTGAAAACTGCATTCACATCGATTAAGCCGTTTCTGAAATTAGGCCGCACGAACTACAGACGAAAATTCTAAAAAATGATTGATTTGGGTTCTATTGCCTTCATAAAGCCCCCCTACAATAGTTTTTTTATATATATCTTTCATGTATAGACAGCGGCCATTTACGATTTTATTATATCTATTGATATAGTATTAAGTCCACATATTGTTTTTTTTTATTTATTTATTTATTCATTAGTACAAATATGTGTACATGGCGGACTTAATGCTAAAAGCATTCTCTGCCAGTCAACCATAGGGAAGTGTCAGAATACTCGAATGCGGTACTAGTAATTATTGATATACATACATACTAAAGTTACATATATAAACGAATAAATATATATGAATAACAAATATACTTACACATATATGACATATACTATATTATACACGAAATTGAGAATAATATAAAGCACTTACTAATAATTTTTTGTAATGTGGTCAATACAAAAATAAATTAATGAATACTTGTAATTGTTTGTATCTATAATAAGTTTACTATTGTAATCTTATTGAGGGAAGAATAAAAGAGTATCTATCTTTTTAACTGTTTTCCAAAAAATCCATTGTTCACTGCCAAGTAACAATAATGTTACATTTAACACCATGCTTCACTGATCAGGTTTTTCAGTCAGTTTTGCCCTACTAATAAATTATGTTCATAATTTATTTCAGGCTCTCTTGACGGAGCTGGACAGCGTCGAGGAACTATCCAAGTCCACTCTGTTCTGCACGAGCTGCGGCAAAAGACTTGTCGTCGACAAAAAACAACCAGGCATACGTTATTGTGTGTGAGTATATAAACAAAAGTACAGTAAAAGTCGGGGGGAAAGGGATTATTAGTAATGGTGTCTAACTGGCCCATTGCCAGCAATACACCCATATCAGGTCGACCTCCAAACGGTTCCCCCTGGAAACCATAATGGTTAATTCTAGCAGAATTGCTCACGAGGGGCTAACTGACCTGCTTTCATCATCCATCATCCCTCACTGGTGCTCCGCCAGCGTATATCGATGGCGCAGGCGGGGTTACCATTCCATTATCATCCATTAAAAAAAAAGTACAGTAAAAGTTCTTTATTCGCGGGGGTTTTTTTTATGCTTGAAAATGGCATGTTTACCCCTCCTGCGCTATCGGTGTACACTAGCGGGGTACCAGTAAGCGGTGATAGGTGAGGATGAAAAAGCAGGTCAGTTAGCCCATCGTGACGAATTCAATGTAAAATGGTCACGATAGTTTCCAGGGGGACCCGCGTGGAGGTCGACCCGACAGGGTATATTGATAGCAATGGGGACTACACTCCCCATTACTAACAATCCCTTCCCCCCTTTATTCGCGGGGTATAAGTTCTGTAAATATACCGCGAATACAGAAAGCCGAACCACTTATACAGCGGCAATGGCATTTGACAATATACTTTAAATATAGTTGTTATAAGGTCTGTTTTATTTTTTTATTAGGCCATTTGCCGACACGTTTACAAAGGATACCGATTCCTTTTTATTAATATACAACGATTTTTTTTTAATGGGGGAAAATAATATGGTAGCCCCGTCTGCGCTAACGGGATACGCTGGCGGAGCACCAGTGAAGAGTGATAGATGAGAATGAAAACAGGCCAGTTAGCCCATCATGATGAATTCATCAGGAATTAACCATGATAGTTTTCAGGGGGAACCGCGAGCAGGTCGACGTGGTTGGGTATATTGCTAGCAATGGGATTATCAGTCTCCATTACTAACAATCCTTTTCCCTCTAATATACAATGATTAGATCCGCGAATTCAGAAATATTTAGCCGCGAATCTAGGAATTGGGTCGCATTTTTTTAATCCGCAAATGGTGAATAAAGGAAGGGTGAATAATGGGCTTTTACTATATTAAAACCAGATTAATAAGTCACCAGAGGGAGACTTTGTACAAAAGTCGTTTGCTTGGGTACCACTGTCCCATTCGTGTTTCTACCTTGAAGCAGTAGTGTTTGCATGGCTATGTTTCGGTTTGAAGGGTGGAATATGGCGTGAATTTACTGGGTACAGAGGAATAACCCCGCTCGCGCTATCGGTATACATTGGCGGGGCACCAGTAAAGGGTTATTGGTGAGGATAAAAAGGCAGGTCAGTTAACCCATCGGGATGAATACACCTGGAATTCAGCACGATGGTTTTCGGAGGGGACCACGTTGAGGTCGACCTGACAGGGTATATTGCTAGCAATGGGACTGGTAGTCCACATTACTATCAATCCATTCCCCTCTGAAAAGGCAGGTCTGTCAGCCCATCGTATCAAATTGTTTTTTTTATACCACAGGTGGCAATCAAGCATACGGCCCACCTGATAGTAAGTGATTACCGTAGCCTATGAACGCCTGCGATACCAGGGGTATTACGCGCGCGTTACCGACCCTGAAGAAACCTCTTTACCCCCCTTTTGAAGAACCCCATGCTGTAGTCTCTTGGGAAAACCTCGGCAGGGAGCTCATTCCATAACCTGAGTGTTCGTGGGAGAAAACATGTCTTCAACGATAAATTAGTTACGATGGTTTCCAGGTGCAACCGCGTGGAGGTCGACCTGATAGAGCATATGGATAGTAATGAGGACTAACCTCTACTCATTACTAACAATCCCTTTCCGTGGGGGGGAAAGGGATTGTTAGCAATGGAGTTTGACAGCCCTATTGCTAGCAATATGCCATATTAGGTCGACCTCCACGTGGTTCCCCCTGGAAACCATCGTGAACAATTCTTGTTGAATTCGTCACGATAGGATAACTGACCGGCTTCATCCTCACTGGTGCCTCGCCGGTGTATACCCATAGCACGGATGGGGTCACCATTCCAATATCACCCATTAAAAAAAAACCCTAGTCGGCACTAGTTCATAGTAATACATTATTGTAGGTGCAAAGATGTACCCCGAAAAGACGAGTCGGACGGCTGGGTACCGTATATGGAAGCGGAGGACGTCGTTATATGGCGGAAAGAGTACAAGCCGGGCCAAGGATTGTACGCGTACAAAGGTAGTACAATGTTTTATTAAGTGTATCCGCTTTTTTTTTTGTTTTTTATACCACCTGATGGTAAGCGGTTACTGTAGCCTATGAACGCCTGCAATACCAGAGGTATTACGCGAACGCCAACCCTGAAGAAACCTTTTTACCCCCTTTTGAAGAAGAAGAAGAAAGAAAGAAGAACTTATAGTTCACATATTATGAAACAATTTTTTTTATACAACTTAGAATGGCAAATAAGCTGACGGCCCACTTGATGGAAAGTGGTAACCGTCGCCTATAGACATGAGCAGTACCATGCACATAACAGAGTATACTGTTTCGTCCATGATACCCCCCATGCGTTGCCATTCCTGAGGACTCAGGTGTTATTCCTCTTTACCCTGTAAATTCTTAATATTTTAATAGCAGATATACAGTAAATAGACAGAGGTATTGTCTTCACCAGTGTACGGACGGTACAAAGAGGTTCGGGCTGAGGACTTCGCAGCAGTGCAAGTGGACGGCGCGTACCGGCGCGTGTGGGACACGGCGGTGGCGGCGCTCAGCGTGGTGGAGCGCCGCGCCAACGGGCTCCGGGACCAGGCCGTGCTGCACTGGGAGGTGTTGTGGCCGGTGAGTTGAGTTCGTTAGTACTGGCAGGTGTGGTCGGTAAGTTGAGTTCGTCAGTACTGGCAGATGTGGTCGGTGAGTTGAGTTTATTAATACAGGGAGGTGTTGTAGCCGGTGAGTTGAGTTCGTCAGTACTGGGAAGTGTGACGATGAGTTAAGTTCGTCAGAACTGGGAAGTGTGGCCAGTGAGTTGAGTTCGTCAGAACTGGGAAATGTAGCCAGTGAGTTGAGTTCGTCAGTACTGGCAGGTGTGGTCGGTGAGTTGAGTTCGTCAGTACTGGCAGGTGTGGACGGTGAGTTGAGTTCGTCAGTACTGGCAGGTGTGGTCGGTGAGTTGAGTTCGTCAGTACTGGCAGGTGTGGACGGTGAGTTGAGTTCGTCAGTACTGGCAGGTGTGGTCGGTGAGTTGAGTTCGTCAGTACTGGCAGGTGTGGTCGGTGAGTTGAGTTCGTCAGTACTGGCAGGTGTGGTCGGTGAGTTGAGTTCGTCAGTACTGGCAGGTGTGGTCGGTGAGTTGAGTTTATTAATACAGGGAGGTGTTGTAGCCGGTGAGTTGAGTTCGTCAGTACTGGGAAGTGTTACGATGAGTTAAGTTCGTCAGAACTGGGAAGTGTGGCCAGTGAGTTGAGTTCGTCAGTACTGGCAGATGTGGACGGTGAGTTGAGTTCGTCAGTACTGGCAGGTGTGGACGGTGAGTTGAGTTCGTCAGTACTAGCAGGTGTGGTCGGTGAGTTGAGTTTATTAATACAGGGAGGTGGTGTGGTCGGTGAGTTGAGTTTATTAATACAGGGAGGTGTTGTGGTCGGTGAGTTGAGTTCGTCAGTACTGGCAGGTGTGGACGGTGAGTTGAGTTCGTCAGTACTAGCAGGTGTGGTCGGTGAGTTGAGTTTATTAATACAGGGAGGTGGTGTGGTCGGTGAGTTGAGTTTATTAATACAGGGAGGTGGTGTGGTCGGTGAGTTGAGTTCGTCAGTACTGGCAGGTGTGGTCGGTGAGTTGAGTTTATTAATACAGGGAGGTGTTGTAGCCGGTGAGTTGAGTTCGTCAGTACTGGGAGATGTTATGTCTTACATCAGATGGGCCGTCAGCTTGTTTGCCATTCTAACTTGTATAAAAATAAATAACTTTTATTTGTATTTTAAACTCAAAAAAGGTGCGTAAGAGCCATGTTTAAAATTTAAAAAAATACTGACAGCCATAAATATATCAAACAATACAATATATTGACAGTACCTTCATTGTACATATATTTTTCTTCGAATGGATGATAATAGAATGGTAACCCCGCCTGCGCTATCGGTATAGGCCAGCGGGGCACCAGTGAGGGATGATAGGTGAGTTACCCCATCGTGATGAATACACTTGGAATTCAGCACAAAGGTTTACAGGACGGTTTTGCGTATATTGCTAGTAATGGGGTCCTTAGTCTCCATTATTAACAATCCCTCCCCCCCAGGACTGAGGTGTTATTCCTCTGTACCCTGTAAATTCACTGCCTTATAAATTAATCTTGTATCTTTTTATTGTTTTTCAGAGATTATTTGCGAACAGAGATTACGTGTATATAAGGAGGCACAAAGAGTTCGAAACCACGTCCAGATCTAGTTCACACATGCAGTCCATGTTCGACCCGCCCCCCAGCCCTGTACCACGAACACAAGTCGACACGCAGCGGCCCAGCGTGCACTCGAAAGCGAAACGGATAGCCATGGAGAACTACGAGAGGGAAAAGGACAACAAATGTATGTAGTAATCAATCAATCAATACATATAATAAAATCGTAACTGGTTTCTGTCTGTACATGGAAGGTGTATAAGAGAAACTATTATAGGGAGGCTTTATGAACCCAAAACAATTGTTTTTTTAGATTTTTTGTTTATTTATTTGTTTGTTTGTACGTTTGTGCACGCTAATCTCAGAAACGGCTTAGCAGATTTGAATGCGATTTTCACTAATGCGTTACGGTTTACCATCATTTGTGGCCCAGCATTTTGCCTCTTCTATTCTCTATTGTTTTTATCACAAAATAAATAAATGAAATAAGATTTAATAATAATATTATAATAATAATATTTCTTTATGTATAGATTACAAAGATCCATTCTTGTTAGTAACAATTGACCTTAAACTATGTTAGTAGAAAAAAAAATACAAAATTCATTTTATGGCCCCTATAATAATTTTGACCCACAATGAGAGGATCGGGCTATCGTATTTATTACACAATACCCACAGAACGCTGTCACTGCTGCCACGCAATCGGTATAAAAGAGATGCGATCCGTTTGCGTCTGATGGCATAGAAGTCACCTGTCCATGCCGCTGCAAACATTGTGGATGCAGTACAAAAACGTGGCAACCGTAACAACACCATGAAAACATTATTGTATTGAACACGCAGAGCGCTGTATGCCCGTTCTATGGGTGTATAGTTAACCCATAGGCTGCTCGTATAAAAAAATTGGCAATATTTAAAAACTCTCCATACCTCGTAAATACTGTATTTCCTATTCTTCTCTGACATCGGCGGCCATTTTTTTTTAATAATGGAATGACAACCCCGACTCCGCAGGGGGGAGAAGGGATTGTTAGTAATGGGGATTGGTAGCTCCATTGCTAACAATATACCCTGTCAGGCCGACCTCCTCGTGTTTCCCCCTGGAAACCATCGTGATTGATTAATTGTTACATTCGTCACGGTGGGCTAACTGACCTGCTTCGTCCTCATCTATCATCCCTCACTGGTGCCCCGCCGGTGTATACCGACAGCGCAGGCGGGGTTACTATTCCATTATCATCTATTAAAAAAAAAAACCGACTCCGCTACCAGTATACGCTGGAGGGCCACCAGTGAGTTATGCAACTTAGAATGGCAAACAAGCTGACGGCCCACCTGATGGAAAGTGGTAACCGTCGCCTATAGACATGAGCAGTACCATGGACATAACAGAGTATACTGTTTCGCCCATGATACCCCCATGCGTTGCCATTCCTGAGGACTCCAACCAATCCAACCGTAAATTGGTAGTTATTTCACAAAAAAATTTAGACTTGATAATTTTGTGCGGAACCCCTGTGCGCGAGTCCCACTCGTACTTGACCGGCGTTTTTTTTTTTAGGTGCAAACAAAGTATTCGTGATAGTGTCCCGGTCGTGCGAGCACGCTGACGTGCCGGAGACGAAGCACGCCATCCGCGTCTCGGAGTACTGGAGCCATATGGTGGTGAAGACCTTGAACGGCGACGATAAGGTACGGGTACTGTTCTATGCCGGGACCACACGGCAATTTTTGTTATTATGTTAATTATTATTTTTTTATATACATACTAGTTGACTCGGCAAACGTTGTTTTACCATATACATTATTTCTAGAACTATAAATGAAAATATATCGTACTACAACCATTATATTCGATTGTCATCTTGCAACCTTATTGAGGCATATAAAAAACGCGATTAAAAAACAGGGGTTGATGGTAAAAGAGTGTAAATTTGAAATTGTATGTATTTTTCAATGCTAAATCATAATAAAATAAAAATAAAAAAAAAATTGTAAAAAAAAATACAAATAAAAAATATTTAGGGGCGGATTACTCTTACCATTGAGGGGTATGAAAAATAGATGTTGGCCGATTCTCAGACCTACCCAATATGCACACAAAATTTTATAAAAATCGGTAAACTCGTTTTGGAGGAGTTTGGTAACAAACACCGGGACACGAGAATTTTATATATTAGATTTAACATAATTCTGTTTTTTTTTGTTTGTTTTTTTTTTTATACAACTTAGAATGGCAAACGAGCTGACGGCCCACCTGATGGAAAGTGGTAACCGTTACCTATACACATGAGCAGTACCGTGGACATAACAGAGTATACTGTTTCGCCCATGATACCCCCCATGCGTTGCCATTCCTGAGGACTCGGGTGTTATTCCTCTGTACCCTGTAAATTCACGCCATATCCCACCCTTCAAACCGAAACACACAACTGCTTCACGGTTAAAACACGAATGGGACAGAGGTACCTAAGCAATCGACTTTTGTATAAAGTCTCCCACTGGTAACACTTTACTTTGTAATCGTTAACATTCTTTGAAGGAAATAATAAAAAAAAATTAATTATTCATTCAATAATTGTTCATTAAATAGGTCAAATAAAAAAAAAACATCTTGTACATTTTACTCGGCTTGTCACCAGCCGGGCATGGAGTTCGTGCTAACGTATTACGACGAACCGGCGGTGGGTGGACTGCCGAGCGGCGTGGCAACCTGGGCGACGGGCCGCGCCGCGCCGGCCTACCTGCTGCGGATGCGGCGCGCCGCCGCCGACTACGCCGCCTGGCGCGCCGGTCGCGCCGATCAGGTCGGTGGTTCGCAGTGTTCTTCACTTAACCTTTCTGCAGAGAAACGGATAGTCCCATTGCTGTAATACAGTCACTGATTTCCACCACCGTACAACCCGCCACAAACTAAAGTTTCATCCCAACCATCTGGACGAGTGGCGGTCTTCCATCGTGCGTTTTTCAAGGCACTTTCTCCCACGCACAACCATTCTTTGGAATCAACTTCCAGCAGCAGTATTTCCGAACCGATACGACAACATAACCTTCAAGAAAAGAGTATATTCCTTTTTAAAAGGCCGGCAGCACACCTGCAATGCCGCTGATGTTGTAAGTGATCATGGGCAGCGGTAGTCACTTGCCATCAGGTGAGACGCATGCCCGTTTGCCCCCTGTGTTGTAAAAAAAAATGTCAAAGATACGGCCCGCGGGCCGCTTCCGGCCCTAGGGCCGTATGAATAAGGCCCGCGATCGCAATGTGTCACATAAAGAATCATGTTTTTAGAGCTTTTAGACTTCATTCCATTCCTCTAATAAATAAAACGTTATAATAATTCAGTTTTTTTTTTTTTATTTCCAATCTGGCCCACCTACGAATTCAAAATTTAATATATGGCCCTCTGCAAAATCAAGTTTGACATCTCAGCCGTAATACGTCCTGTCAGGTCGACCTCCACGCGGTTCCCCCTGGAAACCGTCGTGGTTAATTCTTGTCGAATTCGTCACAACGGGCCTGTTTTTATTTTCACCAGTCATCCCTTGCTGTTGCTTTGCGAACCTATTTTTTTTTTATACAACTTAGAATGGCAAACAAGCTGACGGCCCACTTGATGGAAAGTGGTAACCGTCGCCTATAGACAAGAGCAGTACTCTGGACATAACAGAGTATACTGTTTTGCCCATGATACCCCCATGCGTTGCTATTCCTAAGGACTCAGATGTTATTCCTCTGTACCCAGTAAACTTACGCCATATACCACCCTTCAAACCGAAACACAGTCATGCAAACACAACTGCTTCACGGTTGAAACACGAATAGGACAGAGGTACCCAAGCAATCGACTTTTGTACAAAGTCTCCCTCTGGTGAATGTTGAACAATGTTGCCCAACCTATACCAGGCAGGGGTTATCTTTCCATAATCATCCATTTAAAAAGAGTTAAATACATGTTTATCCGATAAATAGTGCCATTAGTGATGAATTATCGGATTATCCTCATTTAGTCATTTACCATTAGTAAACGCTAATGAGGTACCAGAGGGAGACTTTGTACAAAAGTCGATTGCTTGGGTACCTCTGTCCCATTCGTGTTTCAACCGTGAAGCAGTTGTGTTTGCATGGCTGTGTTTCGGTTTGAAGGGTGGGATATGGCGTGAATTTACCGGGTACAAAGGTATAACACCTGAGTTCTCAGGAATGGCAACGCATGGGGGGTATCATGGGCGAAACAGTATGTGTGGGTACTGTTATGTCTATGGTACTGCTCATGTCTATAGGCGACGGTTACCACTTTACATCAGGTGGGCCGTCAGCTTGTTTGCCATTTTAAGTTGTATAAAAAAAAAAGGTATGATAGGTCAGGAAAAATGCAAGTCAGTTGGCGCGACGAATTCGGCGAGAATTAACTACGATGGTTTCCAGGGGGACCACGTGCAGGTCGACCTTAAGCGTACATTTTTACCCATTAAATAAGTCTGCTTGATATCCAAATCTTAATGCGATTATTATACTGAACTGAAAACCAGTGGAAGGCCCATGTTTTTTTTTTTTTTTTTTTTTTTCATTTAAAGTCATGTAATCTATGATCTTATGTCATCGTATAAAGATATAATATTTTTTTAGTGAAATACTATGAAATACCTAAAAATGGCAATGTAATATACGTATTGAAATTCTACCACGACGCGCGGAAGCAGCTGTAGATATCGCGCGTCGTGTGGATCATACAATTTCAAATACGTACATACGGCTGTGGGGCATTTCCGGCGGGAAAATAATCTGAAAATCTGGCCAGCTCTAGAAGAAAGAGAGAGAAGGAAAGAAAAAACTTAATGTGCATTGACCATTTCAGGACCTCCCCGATTACATACCGTTTCGTCCATCGAACACGGCAGGGGAAGGGGAGAAGTCCACCACGAGAATTAAAGAGGAAGATATGGAGGTGAGGTCTTATTTCTTGTATAACTAGCTTTTTTTTTTGAATGGCTAAAAATGTTATGGTAACTCCGCCTGCGCTAACGGTATACGCTGGCAGAGCACCAGTGAAGGGTGATAGATAAGAATGAAAACAGGCCAGTTAGCCCATCATGATGAATTCATCAGGAATTAACCATGAGTTTCCAGGGGGAACCGCAAGGAGGTCGACCTGGTTGGGTATATTGCTAGCAATGGGATTCTCAGTCTCCATTACTAACAATTCCTTTTCCCCCTGTAACTAGTTTTGCCTGATAATCGATTAGAAATCGATTGTGTTTACTTAGAATAATTTAAAAATCGATTATTTGCCAATTACCAGAGGGAGGCTTTGTACAAAAGTCGTTTGCTTGGGTACCTCTGTCCCATTCGTGTTTCTACCGTAAAGCAGTTTTTGCATGGCTCTGTTTCGGTTTGAACGGTGGGATATGGCGTGAATTTACAGGGTACAGAGGAATAACATCTAAATCCTCAGTAATGGCAACGCATAGGAGGTATCATGGGCGAAACGGTATACTCTGTTATGTGCATGGTACTGCTCATGTGTATAGGCGACGGTTACCACTTTCCATCAGGTGGGCCGTCAGCTTGTTTGCCATTCTAAGTTGTATAAAAAAAATAAAGCCTAAGCTTATATTACTATTATTACAGTCATCCCGACAAGGTCCTGAACTCGAGAACTGTGAAGATTCCACCCGTGACCAGGGCACCCAGACGGAGGATCAGCGAAGTGCCCGTCCATCCCCGCGCCTTCACAGTAGGCAGGTTCGGGTGACGGCTCAGAACACGTCCTTGCCGAAACCTGATGCCAAATCGGGAGTGACAGCGAACGTGAGTTTATTATTTAGATCTGCCATGAATAAAAGGCCTGCAGCACACCTGCAATGCCGCTGGTGTTGTGGGTGATCATGGACGGCGGTAGTCACTTACCATCAGGTGAGACGCATGCTCGTTTGTCTCCTGTGTTGTAAAAAAAAAATCATTCAATATATATAATAAAATTGTAACTGATCGTTGTCTGAACATAGAAGATATATAAGAAGAATGCGGTTATCACTAATTCGTTGCGCGTTACTCCACTTAACTTTTAGTGTTTGTTTCATGTCAATCGGTTCATAAATAAAAAAGTTATGTCAAATTAAAGAATCACATATAAAATGCTATAAAATAACCGATCAGTTACATATTGTATTTTCCCCTTATATATATATATATATATATATATATATATATATATATAAATCATATTCAAATTGTATTTCTCTTGTTGTACAGCTAACTTCATACTGTGTTACCTGATCGTAACGCAAACACCTGTGAACTCAGTTCCAATAACACAAGTCTCACACAAAAAAAGTCCCTATTGTATAGACCAATAATATATATATATATATATATATATATATGTATATTAATATATATATATATATATATATATATATGTAGACATCGTATTAAAAAATAGATATAAATTTTAAAATTATATAACTCTTGTTGAACAGGCATCACCGCAAGAGGGCGACACCGATAAACAAGAAGAAGACAGCAGCAGCAGCAACAACAGCAACAGTAGCTGGTGGCGGTATCTATATCCGTTCTACTATTTTGTATGAGTTGGTTCGAAATGACCTCACGCGGATCATAATAGGGTTTGCTATTTATAACCCGCAAAGTTTAGTACGCCTCTCGCGGTGAGGTTGTAATATAAACAGGCCGGGGGGAAAGGGATTGTTAGTAATGGAGGCTAAAAATCCCATTGCTACCAATATACCCAACCAGGTCAACCTCCTCGCGGTTCCCCCTGGAAACTATCATGGTTAATTCCTGATGAATTCATCATGATGGTATAACTAGCCTGTTTTTATTTTCATCTATTATCTTCCACTGGTGGTTCGCCGGTGTATCCCGTTAGCGCAGGCGGGGTTACCATTCCATTTTCATCCATAAAAAAAATATAAACAGGTCAGTAGATTCACATCGGCGGGTTTTTTTTGATGGGTGAAGATGGTATGGTAACCCCGCCTGCGCTAACGGCATACGCTGGCGGAGCACCAGTGAAGGGTGATAGATGAGAATGAAAACAGGCCAGTTAGCCCATCATGATGAATTCATCAGGAATTAACCATGATAGTTTCCAGGGGGAACCGCGAGGAGGTCGATTAGGTTGGGTATATTGCTAGCAATGGGATTCTCAGTCTCCATTACTAACAATCCCTTTCTGCCCCACATCGGCGGGTTATAACCCTATTATGATTCGCGTACAATGGTGTTTATAAACGCCTGGATCTTCACGTAAAATCACCATAAGTTGGTACAGCCATATTAAATAAGCGATTATAGTGTCTTTCAATAGACGTTAAAGTGTTAATAAAGTAACCGACCCGAGAATAAGATGTCTCTCATCATCATATCAGCAGTTAATTGATGAACAAAGGTCTTCCTCTATTGGGGGCTTTGCGAGTAGTTGCTACGCTTGGCAGACGGGTTGACAACCGCAGTTTCGCGTTGGTGGTGTTTTAAAAGGGACGCTGATGCCTATCCCTCGATTAAGTTCCTTTAGTCGCCTCTTTCGATAGCCAGGGAAGGGGGGGGGGGGATAAAACTATCTGCTGATGTCCAATAAAAAGCAGTACGATTAAAAATCCGATTAATCGATCGAATGTTTCGATTCGATTTGTTATCGTTTTAATTTAGTGTTCCTGCGATGTAATCTTTAAAACTTGGTTACCTTACTATTAAGAACTATTGAAAGAGACTATAAATGTATTTCCTATCTGTAATACTGTTTTAGTCAATTCCCTAAACTTGCTATGTAAATTTTATATAAAGAGAACTAAATCGATATTGAGCCGAAGTAAATTGTACTCTATTGCACTTAGTTTAGGGTCGAAAATTGACGGGATAGGTACTTGCAGTTACGTCACTTATTTACATCCAATTATTTATATCGCAAGTAATGTGTTCTACATATAGTCAACTAGGTTTTTTTTTACATAACTTCGTGTCTAGTGTAGAAAAACAGGTCATAGTACATTTGATATAAAGTACATTTATCGATCAAATAGCATTACGTCCACTATGTTACCGAGAATAGATAATAGATGGCGTAACATGTCATCAAAGTGATGTAATGTGGTTAAAAAATACGGAACGACTGTACGCCAATTTTATAACAGAAATATGACTTACAACTCGTTCAATACGAATTGATTTATTTACAATTTGATCAGTTATTGTCTTTTTTTTTTTTTGTTGGAAGGAAGTAGACTGACCCTTTTATTCGTAAAAATGTTTCAAAAACCTACTTTAGCTATTGAACTGTTTTGTCTCTTTCTTTTGAGACAAATACCTATTTTGAAAGTGTCAAAACAGTGTAATAGTCAATGGGTGTAAATGGTATGGTAACCCCGCCTGTGCTAACGGGATACGCTGGCGGAGCACCAGTGAAGGGTGATAGATGAGAATGAAAACAGGCCAGTCAGCCCATCATGATGAATTCATCAGGAATTAACCATGATAGTTTCCAGGGTTGAACCGCGAGGAGGTCGACCTGGTTGTGTATATTGCTAGCAATGGGATCTCAGTCTCTATTACTAACAATCCCTTTCCCCCCACAGTGTAATAGTAAAATGTAACAGTGTTAAAGTGAAGTATTTCTTTTTTTAACTACTCTATGCTGTTAGCCGGAAGCCTTTACAGCTTCACCAGAAGAGAAACGAAGTGAGTGCATATGGCAGTCTGAACACGCGGAAAGACTTACGAAGCGGCCTTTAGCCGTCTCCTACCTAACGAATGCGACTCAAATAGTCTGAGGGCCCACGAGGTAATTCGAACCTCGGCTCAGATAGTCGTATCTCGATCCCCACCTGAATAGACAGGGGGATCGTTTCTGATAGATTTATGGGTTTTGTTTTTTACGAATAAGGTGGTAATTATTTTATACCACACTTATTAAGGTGTGGTATAAAAGATATTTATAATGAATATTGGGTATTGTATTGATGGGAAATCATAGGGTGGATTCTGAGACGCCATTCCTCTATCTCTTAATGTAAAATTTCAATTTGATAATTTCACGAAACAATTGTTTTATGGGCCATCATATAGTACCATATCATATTTTTTTTTTATAATGGGTGATAATAGAATAGTACCCCGCCTACTCTATTTAATATACTCTGGCGGGGCACCAGTGAGGGATGATAGATGAGGATGAAGCAGGTCAGTTAGCCCACCGTGACGAATCTAACAATAAATCAATCACAATGTTTTCCGGGGGGAACCACGAGGAGGTCTACCTGACAAGGTATATTGCTAGCAATGGAGCTACTAATCCCCATTACTAGCAATCCCTCCAATGAGCATAGGCTACCCTCTATTGGGGGGAGGGGGGGATTGCTAGTAGTTGCTACGCTTTGCAGATGGGTTGGCAACGCAGTTAGGTCTTGGAGATGTTTTAAGGGACGCCACTGTTCATCCCTCAACCCTTAAGTTCCCTTAGTCGCTACTTACGACACTCACGAGAAAAGAAGGGGTGGCCAATTCTGTACCAGGACTACACATGGCAAATCATTCTATAAATTTTGAGTGAATAAGTGAATGAATGTACTTTATTTGCATTATACAATATAGGGAATAAGCGAGACAATTTACAAACACAACGGCACAGTTGCATAAATGCAGTCATCGTATCATCATATCAGTTGCCACACTTGGCAGGCGGATTGGCAACCGCAGTCAGGCTTAAGAGATATTTAAGAGGGAGGATCTTTCGCCCTCCCTTAGTCGTCTCTTACGACACCTACGGGAAAGGAAGGGGTGGCCACCCCTATGCCGGGACCACACGGCTATAATTGAGAGCAATCATTTCAAGATAACCTTATGCTGTTAAATCTAATTGAAATTTTGAAATAAGAGATAGCTTTAGAGAGTTGGCGCCTCAGAATCGACCCCAATGACGTTATAGGTACGTTTAGAACTGATGGTTAAATTTTAGAATAGATTCGGTTAAGAGGATTACTGTCTAACGTGTCGTGGTTATAACGATGGTACTAATATCTATTTATTTAGTAATATCTATATACCAAAGACAAATATGTCGATTTTGAATTATTTTTACTGTTTTTTTTTTTAATAACTAAGTCTTACTTTTTGGATAAGATAAATTTAAACAAAGAATGATTGCCTAATTGCAATGTTAATACAGAACGCCATGGTGTTCAGGAATGGCAACGCATGTGGAGTACCATAGGCGGCACAGTATACTCTGTTATGTCCATGGTACTGTTCATGTCTAAAGGCAACGGTTAGAACTTTCCATCAGGTGGGCTATCAGTTTGTTTGCCATTCTAAGTTGCATACAAAAAGTATTGACACCAATTAATTTGATCTCAAGGTCACCTTTAAAGAACCATAAATGTACAAGGTCATAAGGTGACCTTGTCCCTTTGTCCCGGGACTACATTATAGTGTACTCACATTGTATCTTCTGTAATAATATTTTAACAGCGGATCCAGGACATCACTGTAATGTTAATCACGCCTAAAAGTGTTAAATGCCATTTCTCTAACAAACTTTCCTTCATTTTAATATCTATTATAGTTCCTAAATCGCTCACCAGAGGCAGCACCAACGTTTGCTCATTAATCGCATAAATAATACATCTTAAAAAGAAAGATGACTACAAATTTTCTACGAAAATCGATTTTCGTGTTTAATATTATATTAATTTTATATACTAAATTGGACGTATTAAACAAATTATACCTCACTGCTTATAACTTCGGTATTAAAAATTCAATGCAACAAAATGATCTTACTCTTATAACGTTTTAATCGATATATGTTTTTATTTTATTTAAGTCCGATTTAGTGATGGGTAATGTTCGATATCTATATATTGGGTTCTAGATATTGTTGACTATCCATTGCGATATCGACAATATCGGTCGGATATCTATATTCTTTATGAGCGGTTCTTTTATTTATTTATTTTACACTTTATTTCACCATTTATAAAATAGTACATACAGTTAATTTTAATGAGAAATGATACAAAAGGCGGCCTTATCGCTAAGGAATCTCTTCCAGGCAACCTTTGGGTAAAGGACATTGAAAAAAAGGCAAAGGGTAGGTGGCGCACTATTATACAGATACTAATATGTACAGACATATATACATACATATATACAAATATATATATAAACATGCACATACCAGGGTAAGGTGAAAAGTTCTCGACCTGACAAAATACCAGAGTATGGGAGTACCATACCAGATATGAGAAATCAGGAGATAAGGGGGGATGGCCGAGCATTTCGTATTCCAAATACCGCAGTTTTCCCATCGCCCACGCACCTTCATGTGCAAGTCTGTTTTAACGGAAACCATGCACGACGTTTACTGCAAAAATTCGTGTAAGTCAACTGTTTGAGAGAACAAGTTTAAACTTGTCATACGAACTAACGACACATGCACCTAGGCAAGAAAAAAATTTTTTTGCTGATCAGAACGCCATTTCTATGTCAGACCGAGAACTTTTCAATTTACTCTCGTACCTAATAGTACACATACAACAGGAGAGATCGAGAAACTGGAAAACGAAGAGAGAACATGGGAAAATAGCACTTAAAAGGAGAGATAGTAGGACTTAGGTTTTGAAGCTAGCGAGAGATTGAGCGCACCGAATAGAAGAAGGTAGTGAGTTCCACAGGCGATATTTATTTTAAATATTATATATTGGATACTGATAGATATCCAATATATGTGTT